GAAGGATGTTTGTGCTTGAAAGCTTGCAATTGCATTTTTCTTTTTTGCAAAAATCTAGTTGGTCTAATAAAAGATATTGCCTCTACAATGAGTCACTAGACCAGTACAGCTACAACCTGGATACCATACACTCTGTATACACTTAGAATAGCTCCACATGACAACCGCTCCTTTACTTCCAGCCTCACATATCCTACAGACACTTGCATTCACCCACATTCTTCCTCACCACTATTATTTACCACAATCCCATGCTGTCCTATCCCTATGGCCCATCTAAAATAACATGGATACCCTGGTAACAATCCATTCCCTCATCAAAACCAATGCTGTCACATCAGTCTGGGTTATAAGTGTGTATGAACTGAGCACATAATGGCTGTCACATTTGCCTATACTTACAGCACTTCCAGTATCTAAATCATTGCTTTGTAAAGCCCTTTGGGATACCATGCACATGAAAGTTGCTATATAAAACCCAAATCCTATTCTATTCTAAACCAGTACCTTCAAGTCCTTTTATCACAGAATGAGGCAAGCAGTGAATTGAGCCCTGAAATAGCAATTGAAAGTTTTCATGAAAAAGCAGAACAGTACATGTTTAGTATATTTTAACATAATTCAAGAACACTAAGTGCACTAAAAGCAAACCAGTTATTTGTGTGTGGGAAAAAAATGTAAGTGCTTGTTTTTCTTTGGGATTTAATTTATTATATGATCTGACAGAGATCTATCAGGAAGACAAAGAAGGAATAAAAAAAAGAGAGAGAAAGAAAACCCTTACATAGGTTTTTGATTATTTGAGCTCAAGAAAATAACAGGCTGTTTCAGTTCTTTTAGCTTGGAGAGTTATTTGGTATATGATCTGAAACTAGCCATGCAGCTGAAGAACAGAGGGGGAGAGCACTAGGATTCAACGGTCTAGACCAAAGCTGTAAGGTTATGAGTCAAACACAACTGCTAAAGGGGTAGCTGCAAGGGAAGAGGCTGTTTGCAGATGGCACGGATTAAGGAGAGGGTCCTTGGGAATCCAAGCCAGGTGGTAGAAGGTGGCTTAGAAATGACAATGAGTATGAGGTGATGTGACTGACTGCTGGTTGCAGCCTGCAGGCTACTTGCTGTTGGCTCAGGAGTCAGGCAGGGAGAGATGCAGTGTGCCTTTGATGGGGCACCTAATCTCACCTTTGACCAAAGGGTCCAGAATGTCTGAAACTCCTGTGTTTCCAGACCATGGCCTTTTGCATGGCGCGCACAGCCATCTGTTTATGTGAACTCCAAAACACTACACAGCATCTGTTTTTAGACTCACTGGTGCTATATAAACAAGAGAAACCACACCTCTGGATTTACAATAATCTCCTGCTCTTTTATTCAAAGGTCATATGGCTCTTGATGCTCTTATGGCACTGGGAGCTCATATAGAAAATATTGGCCGCTATCATTGCTGGATCCTTTTCAGTCAGTGCTTTTGAAGGTGCATGCTACTGTTCTGTAACTATGGCATTTATTCCTTGTTCCTACAAATTTAACTTTGCATTTGGCTTTATAAAAACCCATTTTGTTTGAAGAGGATCAGTTTACAAAGAATTCCCAGATTACTTTGTACAACTACTTTGTTCTCATCCTAATGAATCATTCTGCCAGTCTCTCTTTTACCTGCAAATTTTATCAGCAGTGATTTTGTATTTACTTTCAGCTTATTGATGAGCCTGCTGAATACCATCAGGACTCATACCAATCCCTCAGGAACCTCACTAGAAACACTCCCACTCAATGACCAATCGCTGCTAATGACTGCTGCTTTGAGATCTGTCAGTGAGACAGTTATTAATCCTTTTAATGTGTACTTTATTGACAGTCTATAGGGCTTAATTTTCAAACAGAATGCTATATGGCATGAAATCACAGGCCTTGCAAAAATGGACGTGTATCACGTCGGTACCTTTGCCTTTATCAACCAAATTTGGAATCTCCTCAAAGAATGAAATCAGGTCTGTTTGACATGATCTATATTCCATAAAACCATTTTGATTGTCATAATGTCCCCTTGGATTAAATCTTTCTTATTTGAATCATTTCAACTCTTCTGTTATTTTACCTGGGTTAATATCAGCCTGACCTACTTTTGAGTTACTCAGCTTGTCCCACAGACCCTTTTAGATTATTGGCAAAAGTTTAGCAATTTTCATCTTCTTTCCCCAAGATTCGAGGATGTATTAAAAACAAACATACAGAAAGAAACCCAACAACCACAGGGCTAGAGATGCCCTCAGCCAGCTCTTGTTGTACTCTTGGATACAAGTTATCTGCTAATTTAAATACATTTGTCTATTTAATATTATCCTTAGTCACTAATGAGTGGTGTAATGTGAATGCAATGTGTGTAACAGCAGGAGGAACCAGGGGACAGTCTGCAGAGCTGTGCTGACTGTTAATTTGAACTGCAACTACCAGAATCCCTCAGGGCCTGGGGGGCTAGGGAAAAAGGAAGAGGAAGCTTGAGGCTGGAGTAAAGAGAAGAGAGAGCAGTGTCCATGTGGGACCTAGGCAGCCCTACGCAGAGGAGTGTGTCATGGAGCTGGAGATGTCACTGGCTTGGTCAGCCAGGGCTGTGGAATGAAGGAGCTGGATCAGACTTGGGGGCAGCTGCAGGCTGCTGTTTGGGCACTCTGGGGACTAAAGGCTTGTCTGGGGACACCTCTGCAGGTGTGTGGGAGAAATTAATGTGCTGAGTATGTGTTACCAGAGTGTTGATGATACATACCTTTGGACCATTGGCTTGCGACCCTAACCCCTATGACTTTCTAAATAAAAGTGGAACCCCTCCTTGCTTCTTGTGCCAGTTTTGGGGGCTGCAGGGTTGGCACAGTGAAAACATAGTTTATCCTCCTTCTGCAGCATAAGCATTTCATACCCTTCCTTTCAAAATACAGAGCAGAAACATTTCTCACATCCCTACTTTTTCCATACCAATATTAACACTTTTACCTTTGATAACAAGTCTCTGGCATTGCTCAGATTTCTTTTGTTCCTAAAATACTTAAAAAGAAAACCTTCTTATTTTCCCTATCCCTGCCCGTAAAACTCTTTTTTTTTCCCCTCAATGTCTTTTGGCTGAATTAAAATGCATTTTAGAATGGGCCCAGAGGAAGCTAATGGTACTTGTAAATTCATTTTCTCATGGATTAATATTATTTTTAAAGGGAAAGGATCCCCTTACATATTTTTTCCTTCCCCTGCCACTGCATGATTGTTCAGTATACAATGTTCCTGAATATTACATCTGAGCTAATTTTAAATGACATAAGCAATGTATTCTTTTGGGAGGCACAGCCATATGTTAATAGACCTTCCTTTCTGGGGAACAAATTCCGACATTGACCTCATAATTTTTCTTCAGTTTCATGAGATTTACACTGTTATAACTGAGGGCAGAATTTGGCCCATTAGCGTCAATGAAATCATACTACAGATGAATTTGTCCTACTTAGATCAGTTAATCTTTCCTTGTAAATCAATCCTTCTGTCCCTTAATCATTTCTGATGATGTTCTTTGAATTCTCTCCAATTTGTCAATACGATGTTGATGCTGAAATACTCAGAGCTGAATGCAGTTTTGTTTTAGCAGGCCCACAGTGGAATAGACCATCACTTTTCTGGACTGTGACATAATTATTAATATGGAACCCAAGATAGAATTGTTCTCCTGTTGTTTGCCAGGATATTGCACTGGAAGCTCAAAGGCATATTGAATTTGCAGTATCTTTCACCTCTCTTTCCATATGACCATTGCACCCAGATATGTCACTGACTTCCTGTGTCACTTTGGGCAACTTGCTTCATCTTTCTGTGCCTTTCTGTCTCTTTATAACTTTAATACTGATGACAATCTACACATCATAACTGGGACAGAAAAGCTTACAGTCAGTCTGGGTTGCAAAGGCTTGTTAGGCCTGCAAATCAGAACCACTCTGTGGCTATATATTAAAGTCTCTCTGGGCCTGATTCAAAGTCTTTATTTGAATATAAAGATTCATGGCTATTTCAGTCAGCTTTGGATCAGGCCTTTAGATCCTCGTGCTTTAGAGTTTGCCTCTCTTCATTGCAACACCTCCCCACACCAGTTTTAAATGGTACAGCTCCATGTACATCTGTTGAGGCTCTGGCCTCTATTAGTATTCACTCATTAAAAATTGAGCTAGAAGGTTGAATCCTGTCTGTTTAGTGGTGACTTTTCTCCATTTTCAAGCTGACTGAAAGCCTTGCTTGGCTGATTCTGCACACTAGTCTTTCTCTCCCAGGTTGTCTAAGGCAGCCTTATTTCTGCTGCTTATTGTCTTTGAAAACTGAGTGGAGGAAAGTGCTGAGGTGAACAGGGTGAACGGGCTAGAGAAGAAAAGTGTCAGAGAAGAGGAAGTGGCAAAATAGATGGCACAAAATTCCAGCATCTCTCTTTGAAAGGATAGTGCTGAAGGTTACAAATCAGCCAGTTGCCCCTTCGGGCTGGCATTGTTGATAGACAGAACCTTTATCAAGTGTCAGCAAAGGCATATGACATTTATCAGGGTGGAAAGCCTGGTGCTACTGAACTGACAGAATATATTCAATACATGCCATTTCCACTGCACTAATATTCCTTAATGGCATGATTTCTCACTGAGATAAGGATAGTTCCCTCCTTTGGTCTAATCCCAAGTCTCTCTCCATCTTCTTGTTACTTCTTTTCCCTTCCCTCTATCTTCCTTTTTCCTTTTCCTCTACCTTTCTCTCCTCCTCCCATTTTTTCCTCCCCTGCCCTCATTCTTTCTATCTAGCTTTCTCCCTCTTTCCAGCATGCGCTTGCTCTCCCTACTCTTCCTCAGTCCCTCCCACTGTGTCTTCATCCACATACCGCATAAAGTACTACTGAACCCAGTGCCCTCGGGGGGAGAAGATGAAATGAACTAAATTGGGAGTGCAATTGCCAGACTTGGGTAACAGAACAATTTAAATCTCTTCAGTTCACAGGAAAGATGAGGAACCACTGACCATGAAATGGAGGCCAAAGGAACCGAGCATCATAATCAAGTAGGTTGAGACTTTCCAGAAGAGTTAGAACTGAGAGCCGGGCTCGTGAACTACACAAAGCACAGCCTGACAAGAGGAAAAGAGATCTGAAATGCAGTGATAAAGTGATTATGCAGATCTAAGTAGTAATTTTGTGTTCAAGTATTTTCCAGTTTGAATATGATGTATTTGCAAGAGATGTGAGCTACTCTTAAGTTCCAGCTAATAGGAATGGCCTGTCCCTATAGAATACATGCATGGGAATAGCCTAAGTAGTCACTGGGTGTCACCATTGAGCCACAGAAATGCAACTAGAAGATCATTCTTTATCTGTTTTTAAAGCATTGACACTTATAGGAGACAACTGAAATGGAAGCTCCCGATCAAGTCAACATCTCTCTGTAGTCTGCCTTCTACTGGAACTTCACATTGGTACCAGTGCTAGTGTGTGTCACATACAGTGTGAAAGCCAAAGTTTTCGTCTTCAAAGTGGACCGTTGTGACAGCAGAGAGCTCTGGTGTTGAGAATAGTTCTATGATACATGGGAAAACAAAAAGCATCATGAACTCTGAACAGCGTGTAAAACACTGCGGGGGTACTGCATGAAGATGAGTGCCATCTCAGTGAAATAATGGTAATTGTCATTCATTCAGTTGAGATCAGGAAAGATGCTGACAATGGAGCTACCTTAATACAAAAGAGAGAGCTCTCACAGCAAAAGTCAATGGGTGCCTGTACACAATGTTGGCTTTATGGGTTTAGCATTCATGCGGCACGTGTTCCACCAAAGCCCAGACGTCTTAACCTTATAGGCATGCTGCAAAAACTCTCCCCCCC